AAAATTTATTTTTTAAATTATTTTAAATTATTGAATTTTTGGCTGACCATACAGCTGTTTCGAGTATTGCCAAATACCCTTCATCAGTGGTCTTGGAAATAATTCTTATATTTAATTATTCGTAAATAATTATTTTTGAGACTGCAAGTACCAGGAATCGAACTCGGGTCTTTCCAAATATGAAGCTCAGAATCAGCGCACCTTAACCAACTGATCCAAAGCCGTACTTGGCTTTTTATGTTCGCATATTTTTGCTGGAGTTTTGTTACTTCTTGCTATGAAAGTTTTTATTAACAATTTTACTTGCTGTATTTATATATTAGAACGAAATCATAAACCAGCTGTAGAATAATTGAATTAATTAATTAATTATATTTTTTTTATTTTTAATTGTTAAATTTCAAAACTATTCTATTCGTAGAGGCATTATTTGTTGCATGATTTGTTCTTTCTTATGTATATATATATATATATATATATGTATATATATATAAATATTATAATGAAATCTTTAAGAGAGTTTACAGTTTATTTATCATATGGTTCCATAAGATTTGAGATTTGTTAATTGTAATACCCAGTCGAAAAAGTTATCCAGAAAAGACGTCAAATTAACACTGTACCAAATCCATATACAAGATAATTAATAATATAATAGGACGAAGTACTAATTAAGAATACATAATCATAACTACGATTTTATAAATCAGGATTTATGCAGTTTATGTAGAATTCATGACATGACGCAAATGACTGACGATCTTAACAGAAAACTGCATATTCCACTATAATTTTATTTAATAATCTTTAAGTGATTCTCCAATTTCTTATCGTAATAGATATATTACTTCGTTTGAAATGTTCTTTATGCTTCTTTATGCTCTTGCGCTGCCATATCCGCATTTTTAATTTAATTGACCTATGTGTTCTAAGGAACTACAAATATTAAATTTAATCATTCAAATAGCACTGTAAATTTACAAGTTAAATATTATCTTAAAATATAAAGTATAGACATTACATTAATTATATTAAACGAAAAAGATAACGCAAATCAATTTGAAATAGTTTTTAATAATTTCAATTAAGTTGTAAACACATTTGTAATCAGATTTTATATTGCATCGTTATGCATGTTTTCTAAAGTCACACTGCATCGAATTTAATGACCTGCACCTTCTTGTTCCTTAGATTGATAATCCAATTGTTCTTCTGGGTTGTGTGGCCAGAAAGTAGGACGATTAATGGGATCTAAGGCTGATTCGGGGAATGCATCACGATAATCTTCCATAGTCATTTGGCCATATGGCAGTAGTGAGCTGAGGTGACTAATCTTTTTTTGATAATCAACAATACGTGTTTCAGAGCCTTTCTTGAAAGCTTCTATTTCAGTTTTAGTTTCTTTAATCTGTGATTCTATTTGACCACCAAGATTATCCTTAGGATAAGGAATTTGAATAGCTTCATATTGTTTTTGGAAGTTGTCCACCAATCCAGGAAGTGGAATAATGCGTTTATAGTGCGCCCAATCGATTTTTGGTGGATTTTCGGGATTAGCCAAAACAGCACGTATATATGTATCGGACTTAGCTTTGAAAGAGCCAAAGCTGGTTTTTTGATTTGCTGGTACACGTTCAGCTATTGCTGCCCAATTGATAGCAGATTGAGTAACACGACGAGATGCCATATCTGATGCTTTGTCGATCTGGAAATATTAAAAAAGATTTAAAGTGAGGTTATGAAAGTGTTCATTCGACGGACTATATATTGATTTTGCAAAACTATTTAATATAATTAAAAATATAGTTTTGCTACTTTTTTTTATATTTAAAATTAAATTAATTCTAAATATAACACATTCATTAGCAATTCGGTACATGTATCCATTATGTAATTTGCAATGTATTGAATTCACGTCTTATTCTGTGTAATTTATTGAAAGATTTGTCTGCAATTTCAATGCAAATGTAATTTTTTTTGTTCCAATAATAAAATCCATATTTCACTTATATATTAAAATTCAACTTAATCTTACAAAAACCTTACGCAAAATTTTCTTTACAAAAAATCAAGCCTTACTAACTTTGCTTTCAGCAACGAAAAACAGCAATTGAAAAACTGTCAAAATCAGTATTGCCTCAGTACACAAACGTCAACGAAACGGAATTGATGAAATTAGGTTTCCGAACACTTTTTGCTTTAAGTCAGCTGTTCTTCATTTCATTTGGTTACTTAACATAAATTGTTTTCTTTGTTGCTTATTTACGTTAAAATAGAAACTAAGTATTTAACAATTATAATAATGCTGTTACAACCTTTAGCAACATTTGGACAACATCAGTTGCGTTCATTATCTTCAGCAACGGCAGCAGTCACACGTCTTCATCGCTCTGTTTATAGTCGCATGTATCCAACAGTGGTTGTGCAGCCAGATGGTTCCACAATAACTATACGATATCATGAGCCCAGAAAAATTATTAAAGTATCTTTGAAGAGTATATATATTTTTCATATAATTGATTTTATTATTTAATTTTAGTTGCCGTTGGATTTAAGTACGCTATCTGAGGCTGCACGGAAAGCACGTTTAGAGGCACGCAAACCACGCAAGAAGGTTAAAATGGTTGAAGAAGTTGACGATAGTTTTAATGCTAAGAAGTATATGAAATATATGAAGAAAAAATAATGCTAAACAAGTTAAATATACAAATATTTTTGTTAAAATGAATGCTTTTTTTGTGCAAGATGCTATTGAGTTGCATGTATAGAACTGTTCCTTTTGCTCAGATTCACAGTTAATGTTTGTAAGAATAGTTAAATAATTTATAACTATACTATGCAATATTTAATGTAACAATAATATGTAAGTCATATTCCATAAGACGGTTAAAAATAAAAGTATAGTTATATTGTGTATACATATATAGTATTTATATAAACAATAGGAAATTAAAAATACTGTTATATGGTATAAATATTAATTTTGTTAATTGTTTAATTTATTAGCGAACAATCGGTTAACTTCCAAAAATCACTAAACAGTTGTTTGGAAGCTGATAAAATAATTTTGTAGGATCTGATTATACGTATTGGTACAGTAGACGCATTTTGAAGTACATTTGTAACTCTGGTAAGCTTTCACTTTTCAAGGTACCATTGCACTGCATTCGGGTGATTAAAATGAGTCCCAAAAATGATCCTCTATAAAAGGCATAGCTATATAAAGTGTACTGCTAATAATATTTAATTCATCATGAATTGGTTGAAAAAGAAGCAGTGCTAAGAAAAAAAAGAACAACCTTGTATCACTTAATTATTTATTATACTTTGACAGCTGAGATTAAGATTACATAATCTTATCATATATATTTTAAATTAAGTACATAAGTGTATATATTTTTTTAATTCTCTTTGATATTTACATATTTATAAAATGTTATGATGACCATTAATTGATACAATTTTGACCCAAAACTTCTATTAAACTATTCTCTTATGGCACATGCATTTTAGTAAGTTGTAAGATTATTTTTTCGTTTTCTGAACTTTAAATTTATTCGGTTTGAATATTTTGGATTCAATATTCACAAAAGTTTAACTGCACATGATACTATCACTATTATAATTTACTTACTACTTTATTATAATTTCCGCATAAGTTTTGAGAGATATTTCAATTTCTGACTGTGACTGCGAATATTTTCTATTGAAGTCTTTTGGTAATACTGCTCCAATTCTTAAATACATTTCGTATGAAACTACAAAAATAACTATCTTACATATCAAAATGTATTTTATGTTTTCATTTTTAAAAATATCAGTCACGCCATGATTGATTTCAAAAATAAAAGTTATCCTTGATCTTCACATTTTGAAGGCAAAAATTATGGTTATTTATGCGTTTTAAAATAAAAAGCAAAGTTTAAGAGTTATTTGTGCTTGAAAAAAATAAAAGAAATATGATTTTATTAATTTTAATAATTATTATATAAAACAAATTCAATTATAATTTTTTGAGTTTTACTTTAAAACGCTCATATATAAAAAGCATGTATTAAATTAAGGATGAAAGTTGTTAGAATTAAAGCTATATACTTGAATATGAGTTTAAAAAACTGTTTTTTGCTGCTTTTTTCATTAAGAATTTTTAAAGTAGCAGTTATCTTCAGTCCCTGTATATTGTGAGTACTTTTTAAATGTTAATACATATAATTACATAAATAAATATTATATTTTTTACTAGGCGGTTTTTAAGCTTTTTTGCTCTCTTTTTTTCATTTAGTAATGACTTTTAAATAAAATTTAAATCATAGTTTAGAAACAAATCATAGACTGGAGATTAAGAATGAAGCTAAATTTCACTATTTTTATTATAATTATTTTTTTTTAATATGAAAAGTGGTATTAAAACTTTTTAGTTATAAAAAAGTGTTTGTCATTATTGTGTCATTTTTTTAACATTTGTTTTAGACGAAGTTTTCTTTGGATGGACTATTTCAAGCATTTATTAGATGTACTTTTGTTTAATATGAGTATCTAAAATATTTTATTTTGACTTATTACAAATTAGAGTCAAATAAACTCGTTTTAAAATATTATTATATGTAGGACTGATATAAATTACAAATTTGACTGAAAATAAATTCTAGATGTAAATGTTCAAAACTAAATAATGAGTATTTTGTAGGCATTGTAATTTTCATGTGCATTTACGTGGTCCTTACACAATGCATTACTATGATATATATAAATGGTTGTTAGTATAGAGATTAGTTGTCATATAATAAATATATTTTGAATAGAAATTGATACATTGTATTATTATAAGTATAAAGATAAGTTTCAATATAAATAATAAAAATTACTTAAACATAATTCGTTAAACTTGTATGTAGTATTGAAATTAATACGCAGTTAATATTAGTATATGTGTATTTCATACCATATAAAGGTTTTTGCATTACTTTTGACGGGTGTCTTTTTAACACTGAGGCAACACTGTTTTTTTACTTTTGACATTTCATTTTATTCACTTCAATTGCTACAAGCTGCAAAAACTTCTCATCAGTTGCTTTTATACAGTCGTACATGTTGTTTGGTGTCGGTGCGGATGTGTTGTGACTTTTCTTAATTTGGGATTATGGAATACATAATATAAACAAAAGTTAAAGAATATAACATAATATATCTTGTGCATGTGATGTGAAAAAGAAAAACGAATATTTTGAAAATATATGTTTTCAAATTCAAATAAAATGTGTTTATAAAAATTGAAAATCCCGTACTTAATATGAGCATAAAATATAACAGTTACAAATGATGCCTGGGCAAAAAAGGACAAATAACGGATAACTAATGTAATTAAGGTTTATATAAACGTTTAAAATTATTTTTTTTTTATTTTCAAATACTAAAAATTTGTCAGATTTTGTGTATATTGACTTTTTATTTGTATTAATGATGTGCCAAAATGCAAAATGCTTTGCATCAAATAAGAAAAATACGACGCGCTCAGTTTCTTGTTTTTCCCTATACTTATTGTTTTTTTTCTTGTACAACAATTTTCATCTCCCTTTTGTTGTCTTTTCCGTTTTTCCGCTGCTGCCATTGCTGTTGCTGCAAGATTTAAAGAATTTTCTATTCGAAGTGTTTACTGTTTATACTGTTAAGAAGGGAGTGCTGGGGTAAATAGATTTTGCCAGCAGAGGAAGCATAAATAAAATCTATTATTAGTATATAAATAATTACAATTCGATTTTTGTTTGTTTTAGAAAAAAGACAAAAACTTTTGAAAAGGTTTGATCAGAATTAACTGAATATGTGTTTGCGGCAAAAGCAGCAGCTGCAAGAAAAACAAAAATAAAAATTCTTACTTAAAAACTTTGTTTACATTTGTGTGTTTATTTGTATTTGCATTATAAAAATTCTAATTTGAATATGTGCATTAAACAAGAATGTGTGAAAACGCAACGGAAATTCTTTAAATTTTCCGTAATATTGCTAAGATTTTATTAAAAACAACGGTAAAGTGCACATTTGTTGTTGGAGCCGTTGGAGCAAGCAAATGCTGTCTTCTGGTTTGTGTGTATGTGACTCTTTGCAAAAGCAAGTTTCAGTGCTTCTAACAAAACAATTTTCCTATGTGTGTGTGTGTGATTATTGCAGCACAGCAAGTCTAGATTTGTGGGCCAACATATCGAATAAGTGTAACAAATACGCCATTGAGTGTTCAAATTAGTTCTAAAAATATCATAAAAAACTGGTATATTTTTATACCACTTCAAGTTGCCAAAATTATTGCAAATATGTTATATATAAAAAAATGAAAAAAAAAAATGATTTCAAATAATTATGAAAATAATCGAATTAACTCTTAAATTTAATTCAGCCGATAAGATTTTTTGTTTTATAAAAACTCCTTTCTCTTTTATAATTAACAAGAGTATACCTTCTGGTAGTAAAATTATGGAATAGTTTATTAATAGTCCTCAAATTTAGATAAGTTAAAATTTTATATTCAGATCAATAATTAGCTCACCTCTAAGGTCTTAAAATTTAATAATAACAATGATAATAAAATTTAAAAAAATGTTAAATATTATAATATATACATTTTGTCAAATAAATATTTGAAATAATCCATTAATATTTAATCATTTTTAATAAAAATCTTAGTGTAAAACTTTATGCTAAAATATTGTTTATATACCTGTTTTTGCTTATTTCATTTGTAATAAATACAAAACTTTTTAGATAAAAGTATTCACTCATTTGAAATATATTCGTTTTTTTAACGAATTTACAAAAAGAATAACAGTTTTACTGTTTCAAGCTTAGGTTTACTTAGACTTAGATACAAATTTCTTTACATTTATTGTAGTATATCTGTAAACAATAAAAAATGCTATGTATATTCGAAGTTATTAAAGTAGCAGATATAAGGATAATATGTATTGAAGCATATAATTATTAGTCTTTCCTGTAAATAGTTTTTTATTTTGTATTTTTTAGTTTGTTCTTAATTTGTTAGAAAATTCAACTTGCAAATTGATTTATGAACATAAACATTTGCTTATTTGACTTTAATGCTCATTAATCTATATCTAATTTTAACTCGCATGTCCAGTTCCTATCTAATTCATCGTAAAATATTTAGTAGAAAGTAGAATTACTTATTCTCCTACTTCTTCATATTCTCTTAAAAGAGTAACGAGAATGGTCTATGTTAATCGTTTTATAATTACAACAGCAATAAATGTGACAATATTTTTCCATAATCATCTTTTTTCCGCATTTTAACACATCTCATATATTTTGCAATAATTATACTGTTCATCTATTTCACTATTAACATCCATAAAGATTCTTTACCTCTTTGAAGTATTTGATTATAAGGATACATGATGGGCTATAGCAACAATAACAATTGTGAGAACAGATGAAATTGAATGACTGAATGACAAATGCATGGAGTAATATAGGATATATAGCGCTAGATTCGTAGAGATTCGGAAAGGAAATAACACTTTCTTGTGAGTGTAAAGATCGAATTATAGAAATGATGTATTTGTATTTCTTGCCTCTTCTTTTAAAATAATTATATACTTATTAAATGATATTTTCTTTATGCTCCAATTGAATCCTGTTTTTTAAATATTTGAAGATATTCTTAATTTACGAATTGAGAATATTTCTTTTAATTTTCATTGTAATTTCGACATTGCCGCG